GATCACCTGCCTAATATTGTGTAGGTCTTCCTTTTGCCACCAAAACAGCCCTGACCCGTCAAGGTATGGACTCCACTAGACATCTGGAGGTGTGCCGTGGTATTTAGCACCAACATGTCCTGTCACTCAGGAACCGGTATTGAACCCAAGGTATCAGTACTGGCATCAACAATTTTAATTTGAATGTTACAGCCCTACTCACAGATAGCACTGATGCTCAGTAGATGGGTAGCAATGACGTTCTGGGTGGTTTTAATCACCCACTGTTCTGGGCTGTGTAAATCCACTGTCAGTTTGTGATGTTTCCAGTCAGGATGCTTTCTGTTACTCCTCTGTCAAAGTTAATAACTTGGCTAGAAAATCTTGTTAAGAAATACAGTTTCTGAGCTTTCTTAACCAGGGTGGAGATGTGTGATGACCGTGACACTTCCCAGGAACCTAAAACTGTTCACCTGCTCCACCTCAGCTCCTCAGATGTAGACAGGGTTGTGTGCCTTTGCCACTTTTTTTCCCCTAAAATCAACAACTGGTTTTGCTGATGTTAAACAGTAGGTTGTTTTCAGTGCACCTCTCTGCAAGATTAATTTTCTCCCGATATGAAGTCTCATCGTTGTTTGAAATCTGACCAATGATGAGACAGAGTTGTCTCCAGCAACTGAGGTCCAAAGAGGTCCAACAATGATGTTGGGCAGTTGGCACTCCAGTTTCCCTGAATTCCCCTTAAAGCACCTTTTTTCCCAAACCATGAAATGACAGCACCAGGACAAAAATGCACAAAATATGTGGACAGATAAGCATTCCTTAACAAAGAAGTTCACATACTTTTGGCCATATAGCATTTTGTTGAACTGTGAATGAAGTTTCCATAGACTATTTTTCTTTGTATCTCAAAATTCTGCAGTTACTCTCAGATCTCAAATATTTGTTTCATTTGGCCATAATTCATAGAACTTTCCACTGAAGATGGCTGCAGAAAAAGTAGTAAATTTCAGATTAGCACCATCTTTTAATTGTCATGACTGACATCATTACTTAAAATCAAAACTATTTTACTTATATGTTCCTTTGTTCACACATGAATACATCATTTTAAAACTAAAAGTAGTTGTGTAGTAGTAATGAAAGCTGATGTATGAGTGAAAGCAAATCCTCTTTTCTGCCTTATTAAATGATAACTGAATATATAGTAAAGACCTATAAATTGACTGTAAAGAGTACAGATTTATTTAATATCATGACTATATGCGATTCCTGGTGTCCATTATTTGATTGTGTGAAAACCATTCTCATAAAACTGGTAAGAGTTTTCCATAATGGTGCAGTCTTATCTCTAAGCAGTCACAGGACAGCAGGCAGTCGCAGACTGTGGCATTCAAAGGTCAAGAGCATTTCGCCTTCATTAAAACCTCTTTCAATTATGATCTGGATGAGCTTTGTGACAGGCACCTTGTAGAATAATGGCAGACCAGAAAACATCTGATGTAGGTAATTGAAAATAAATCTGTCTTTGGGAAAGGGGACACCACCATGTCTCATTGCCATGTGTGCAGCAATGATTCATCCCCACATATTCAATTCTATTTTCTCCACTGCTGAAATATCAAAGAACATCCTCATTCATTTTGAGTGCACTCTTCCATATAGGTCCCTGAGAGAAAGTATACCAATCAAACACTCTGACATTCATGCTATCGGTGTTATTGCTTTTTCAGCCAAGCACAGTAAGAGCATCTTTTTCCATGATTATGAACCGCTGAGTGCCATGCACTTTCTTATCCTTGTGATAAATTGGGTGAGATGATGATGGGGGACTTTCTCTTTGGGATCTCTGCCTCTAGAGCCCTCACTTACTTTTAGGCCATGAAACACACAATCACACCATCTCAGTGGAATCCACTGGAGATGAGATAGGTTGCTCCCAGAGAGTGTTTTTAATAGTACTTCTATTTTTTTCCTGGATTTGAATAATTTTCCAAAATCAGATTTCCACTATTTGTCAAATAATAAGACAGATAACAATATGTTACATGAGTTTTGAAAAGACATTTGATTTACTGATATGAGATATTTTCTTCATTTACAATTAAATAACTGAACTTTTTATTTTGTCATACGTCTACCATTATTCCTTCTGTTTTTCTTCTATCCTAAGGGCAAAACCTGGGAGACTCTCTGTCAGAGAACACAGGGTTGAGATCAGTAAGTCTGGCCTGGAACTGCATTCGAGGAAGAGGAGCTGTGATGCTGGCCAATGGCCTCGGGGTAATACACCTGGAAAATCAATGTTTGAACACCATACTAGCTTTTGAACTCAGTCAAAACAAAATAAGATCTGCAGGTAATACAGTGAGTGGTTAGAACAGGACAATCTGTTTACCGATATAAAGCCATCAAGTAAATACTCATACAAGGCAAATATTATATTGCTGTCATGTCATATCACATCACAAATTCTGGGCATTAATATGCTGCTAGAACAGCCTCTTCTTGGAATCTTACCACAAGCTTTTGAAACCTGGCTGCATGGTGTTTGGACACTGATGTTGGGCAGTAAGGTCTGGCTCACAGTCCAAGTCATTCCAAATCTGTTGAATGGGGTTGTGGTCATGGCTCTGGGCATGCCATTCAAGTTCTTTCACACAAAACTCAAAAAACTATTTCTTTATGGACCTGGCTTTGTGCACGAGGCCATCATTTAATCCATTCCTTACATGTTTGCTCTTGTGCTCTCATGCCTCCATGCCGGCAATAGCCGTGGCCAGCATTATGTTATAGGATAGCCCATCGATCTGTCCCATTCTTGTGAAAGCAATATCTCAGGAACGCCTCAATCCATTCATAAAGAATGAACTGGGACGACAATCAACCACTGTTTGGTTGCAGGGTTTGGCAAAATTTGGGACCATTTTGGAGAAGCTATATGGGGGAATAGAAAGTTTGTAATGTTACTATAAAAACAAGATCATGCTATATTCTGGTGATACTGTTTCTAACATAACTTGATACTTGTTGATAGAGGCTGATCATTTCTATTAGAGGAATATAGCTACTGTCTATCATAACATGGCTAACTCACTTATCCTGTTTTGTGAAACAGCCCAGTAGTATTTATTAAGCATCTCACAGCAGGAGAGAGAGCATAGACATTTTTTCCTTCCCTATTTTAATGAGCAAGATGGTCAAGGAGACCCTGATCAGTAAGCTGCACTGACAGGTTTGATTGAATCAGGTACTGAGAGGATTATTACTTCAGGATCTATTCTTCTGCTCTCACACATTCACATGTTTCTTTGTTCCTTAGTTAATCCTGTTAGAGACAACTGATAAAGTTTTACCTGCTGTGTATTCTTTCTTTTCTGTTTTATAGGGAAACATTTTCCTTAGAACTGTGGATCTGTCATTTAATGGCTTTGGTAAAGAAGGAGCCATTGCTTTAGGGCAGGCTCTGAAAGAGAACACCATTTTGGAGGAGTTGAACGTGAGGTATGTTTTGTTATCTCAGTTATCTGATAATCAGATTGTCCTATAGTCACTGGGTTAAAAGGGGCAGAGGTTGCAGTTCAGTTTAGATAACTTTTATAAACTAACATGTTTTACCTTGTTTGGTACTAACTGTGACACAAAACTAATAAAAAATGTAAAAAAAGAATCCTTTATTGGAGGTAGGTTTACCAATGAATCTTAAACAGTGGTCACATTTTTTCTTAAAGTGAGCCTGCTACCATAAACAAAGTTCAAGACAGTTTCTTCTGCCTTTCCTTTAACTTCCCAAGCACAACAAAGCTTGCTTCATAGATTTCCAGACATTTGGGCTACATGGATGAATAATGCCATTTAAAAAATAACACTTTATGATTGCCTTCCCTCACACTCCAACACACATATTTTTTCGGTTTTGTTTTCAGCTTTTGTTTCTCTTCACAGTAACAACAGAATACCCCCTGAAGGAGCTATTCGCCTAGCCATGGGCCTCAAAGCAAACAAGACAATCAAATCCCTGAATGTAAGCTGTTGAAAAGAGATTGGTTCTAGCTTCAAAAGCAATGGGGGGCATCAGTGGATAAAATGGGATAAGTAAATGGATCACTGTACTTTGTTTTAATGTCAGCGTCCAAGCAGAGTTCCCAGGGACTCATCTTAAGTGCCTGAAACAAGTCAGTGATTGAAAATAAGTTATGGTGAAGACTTGCACTAAAATTGAGTTACAGCATTCCATATTGATTACATGTGTACATGTGAGTTGAAAACTTGACTTTGGGTGTCTGATGGCTATACAAATCTGAAAACTTACCATGCTATGAACAGCTAAATTTAGCCAGTTCAAGATAGTTCAAAGTCCCAAGACACAATTCAATTTGCATCTGGACTAATGGCAGCTAATGCCTGAATTCTTTCTTTGTTCTTTGTTTTGTTTTTGTTTGTTTTTTTCTTCTGTAACTAGTATGCATCAAAAAAAAAAAAAAAGTTCTGGTTTATTGGCACACATGAATGTATAGCTGTGCCAAAAGTCCAAAAGTAGCCCAGAATGGCAAAGTTACCATTAGCCAGTGGTCAGTTCTTACAGGAATAGTAGGACATTTTGGGGAAAATACACATATTTGCTTTCTTGAAATATGCTTGCCAGAGGTTATGAGAAGGTCAAAATTATTCTCATATGTGTAAATATGACGCTAAAGACTGGAAACAAATGGAAACAGCTAGCCTGACTAAAGTTACAAAATCTGCCTACCAGCACCTCTAAAGCTCAGTAATGAACTATTTCTTGGCTCTGACTGTTTGCCAGGCAACCAATGCAGACTTGGTTACTGGTCTTTGTGAAGAAAGATGCTAGTCCAGAACATAGTTGTCATTTTTACTCTAAACAAAGGAGATACAACTTGTAAGCTTCAGATGTGCTTTTAGGTGGATTTTGTTAGCACTGGACAGAGCCAGACTAACCGTTTCCGGTCTTTGTGATAAACTAAGCTAAGCCTTTGCTGGCTGTAGCCTTACATTTAATGGATAGATATGAAAGTGACATTCATCTTATTATCTAACTCCCTGCCAAAGCCAATAAGCAAGGGATGGGAATCAATTTTAAAATGGAATAAAAGCCATAACAACTTATTTCTGCATAACCAAAACCAGAGTAAAGACATCTGTGGCATTGTGGCCATGTTCTTACATTTCACATTACATTTTGTCTTTGGCCAGATGGGGAGGAACCCCATCCAGAATGCTGGTTGCTATGGGATCCTCAAGTCGGTACAGGAAAACCCAAATTCAGCCATGGAGGCATTAGACTTTTCGGTAACTCGCACATGTTCCACCTCTGTGAGACTTTCTGCAAATCTTCTCCTTTATAAACTTATTCACTTGCTTCTCTGTGTATCAATCTCTCTAGGACATCACAGTGAACCAGGATTTTGAAGACTTGTACGTGGCAGTGAAAGAAATTTTCCCTGTGCTTACAGTGAATCACGGGGGCAGAATTGGCACATTCAGAAAAGCAAAAGCTTGAAAAGTGTTTTTGTGTAACTTGTGTTAAAAAAGTGTAATTGCTGTACTTTTATGCCAGAAAAGATGGAAGGAGTCTTGTCAAAGCCCTGTGGATGTTTTCATCGACAGATGAACACAAGGATGGATGCATGAAAGGATATTATCCTAAAAAGATTATTTTAAAAAAAGAGCCATGATAGAATATTTATTTGAATTAAATGTATTTAGATCAAATAAAGCTTGTTAAATACCCAATCAATTGAAAATAAATATGATTCTGGGGGGGAAAAAGTTCATTTTTCAAAGGAAACAATACATACACTGCATGTGTGCGCCCCCGAAATATAATGTTCTTGTTGAATGTTATAAAGTCATTGAACACAGGCATACAATACAGGTATTGAGTCTGATTCTTTGTAGGTATGATCTGATGTGATGTTATATAATGTCAGTGGGTAGAATGATGGAGAGGATCAGGGAGCACCGCATTGTGTATGAAAAGAAGTGAAAGTGGGTTGCACAAAAAGGATTTAAGTACTGCATGACTAGTCTAATAGAGAAACCAGCTTTGAAAGAACGGTCCACTATTAGATAAGAGACCTGTTTACTGCAGCAGGACAACTCAAACAGTGTTAGGTACAGTAAGCTGTCATTTGGAGATGTGTATCTCTACCGCACTCCCCCCCAAAATGATCTCCAACCCATTTTATTTCATAATATTCACCAAAGAAACACCTAAAATATCTATTAATATTACTTAAATGTATTAGAGACAATATTCAAAGGAAGGCTTTTGAGATGAAAATATTGCACTTTCTGCTCCACCACCTGACTGTAGTTATAGTTCCTTTGTAGCGAATGAGCAAAAATAGCATCAACTGGACCAGAACTATAGTTACAATAATTCAGATAATAAATTCAGTAATTTAGATCAAGTATGTTACTTAAAGTATGAAAAGTAAAAGTACTCAACACAAAGAAAGAAAAATGTCCCCTGTGACTGTTACACTGTTATATATCATTTGATTATTATTACTCATGCATTCATGTAAATCTTACTGCTGTACCTGGTTGAGGATGGAGGTGTTTCAAGTCAGGAAATAGTGAGAAATGTCATCACAATTGTCCAGTCCAAAATAACACATTCACAAGCTTCACAACCAAAAGTCCAGACCTCAACATTATTACAAATAAATCAAAATGATTAACAATAAAAGCAGCAAATCCTCACCATTGTGAAGCTGGAGCCTTGAAATGTTTGCATGAAAAATTACTTATCAGAATAGTTGCAATTGATTTTCAAGTTAATTGACTAACTGATTAATCGAACTTATAATAAAACATCATATAATAGAAGTATAAAGTTGTAAAGTTGCCTGAAAAGAAAAGACTGAAATAAAGTACCTCAGTTTTGTTAAATTCCATTATTATGAATACAAATATAATGATTCAACTTTATGTGAATGCATTATTATTATTATTATTATTATTATTATTATTATTATTATTATTATTATGTTGTTGTTGTTGTTTTTATAAACATAACATACATAAATACATAAAATATATAGAATAATAATTACACAGATATCCAAAGCATTAAGTAGCCTATGAGCTAATTATTATAATAAAATAAAATATAGATGTTGCGCATACAATTGCTAGTTAAATTGTCTTTCATTCTTTTCTAATTCTAATTCTAAATAGGTCTTTCAGCAACGTGTCAATGTTTATTATCATTGAAAGGCACACTCAACTAATCAGGTCTGATCGATTGTGCGCATTGATCACTGCTTACTGCGTCACAGAGTCACGCGTGTGTTTTGAAACCTCGGGCGGGCTAACTTATGATTGTCCGTCCAAACATGCCCGATAGGGAGGTAAACATTAACCAGACCGGTGTGTGTGCGTATCCAGAAGAGTTTTTACTCTACAGAGGAACATGGCGACGACCGGTTCTGTGCGGTCTAAAGGACAGGTGTTGTACAGGTATTCTGTGACTCTGCACCAATCCTCGACCAGGTAAAGACGTTTTTAACCTAATTACGTTATTAAACGTTGTGCGTGACTAACAGGACATTTTGAGATCTCCTTTGGCTATTAAACTAGTAATAACTTGTAATGATTGTGTTAGTTAGCTGTGAGTTTAACTAAACTAAACTAACTAAAACTCAATAAAAATACTTTAATGTGTTTGTTATATGTTTGCTAATGTAACATTAAACCAAACTTTAGCAGGCTTTTTTGTTTCTTTTTTCAGCCAGTATTTTGTGAGCCTGGTGACTCCATATGTTGTGTTTTTCTTTACTCAAGTGTAATGCATTATATTGTCCAAATGCTAATGTAAATAAATATGCTTTACATTATGTTTCAGGAATACCTTTATGTAAGACACCTGGGTCATAATTAACAAAAAAAACAAGCAGGCAGATTTCCAATCCAGCTTTAATCATTTGCTGGACGTCTGAACTTTGTCCTGTAAAGCTCCACTAAATGCAACTACCACTTGTTAACAACTTATCTGTGCCTTCACACTGCCTTGGTTTCCTCTGAGGCTGACTGTATTCAAAAGCAAGTTATTGGCTTGAATACCACTTTGTTGTTTTTGAGAGAGAGCCATAGGGAATTCATTTCTAATTATAGTTCCCAATTAAAGCCATTGGCCCATAAGGTTATTAAAAGAGAGTCTCACTGACCTTGAAAGTTTGTGGATTTTAGAATAATAAAATAAAGTCTTTGAAAGTGTTTGTGAATTAACAGCAGCCTTGGAAGTGCTACATAAGTAAACATGCACAATATAGTTCCCTAATCCATAAGTGGGCACATACCAGCTATTCTCTTTGGGCTGTTCAGCACTTCACATCCCCGTGAGAAATCCGGAAATTAAGGTTAATGTTGACATTTAAGCAGCTTTAAAATGGTTTTAGAATTATGACGAAACTATGAGTGTATAAAAAGCTATGAAAGTCATTAACATGTCCTTGGATTTGATGTCCAGCTGAGTGTGGGAGCTTTGAATTGAAGTGACATATTTTGTGAAGCAGCTGACAATTTTCCTCCTGATTTCATTGACACATTTTATTAATAAATATTTGCTTTAAATTTGTAGTTTTTATGTTGTGACATTAGGCTATGGTTTTATTTTTATTTTACACAGTGTCACCCTCACATTTTGAGCTGTATGTTGTAAGCTGTATGTAACTAATTTTTTGGCTTTTTCTTGTGATTTTCCATCCATAAATAATTCAGTTTACCCTAGTAATGGCATTACTGGTTAGAATAACATCTTTCCTTAATGCCACTGTTACAGTCATTCCCAGTTCACCTTATTTGGAACAGTCTGAACACACGACAGATCCAAGTCAGATTCAAGGCTCTCTTTTACTTTGTTACAGTTATTCCAGTTCAAATACTTATTGGAGCCTTTTCGATTCTAACAATAGTTCTTGAAGTGAATAATATTCCCCTTTTTATTCACTCCAGAGTGGGTGAAAATAAATTTTATTGTGAAGACACAATTTCAGCCCACTCACTCATACAGTATGCATGTTTTTCATATCAAAGAATATTAGCATGACTATCTTTTAGCCCATATGTCACGCACATCTCCATGTTCCTTTTAAATTTGTCTTTTTTACATCGATAACTTCTCTGTTTTATGTTGTTGCTTTGAGCCTTTGTGAAACTTTCTTTCATCTTGTTTCTGTGTAGGAGGTTTTCAGAGAGCAGCGACAAAGGCTGGTTCCGTTCCTTATTTGTGCACAAAGTCGATGCCAGAAAAGATGCCCACTCCAACCTGCTGTCAAAGAAAGAGACCAGCAACCTGTATAAAATTCAATGTAGGCCTAAGATCTTTTACTTACAAGAGAAGTTTTATGTTCTCTCAAGCAGGGGGGTTGCAGAGGGCCAGACACAAGTGAATGTGATACAGTTACATTGTATTATAATGAAATGGATTCTGTTTTGAGTCTTAACAGTCCATCATCTATTTGTCCCAGCAGAAAATGGCTAAATAAATCATGTTCATTTAATTCAATCCACACTGGCCTCAGTGACCTCAAAGGAAACTGAAAGAAACATGAGACAGCAGCACAGGACTGCACTGTAACAATTTATTATACATGTGCAACATAGAGGCAGCAACAAGTCATTCTGTAATAGTGTGACGTACCACGTCTGTAAAGTTTTCTAAGCGACATCAAAACAATTTGTCTGGTTTTCTTTTGAGACAGTGGTGATAACTGTCTGAGAAATCTATCATCCTCCCCGCGCTTTGATCTTTTTGTGGCGTACATCTCACCATGTAGGGATTTCAATTTGAACACTCTATCAGCCGTAGCCTATAACCTATTGAAAGCGAATCTGTTTTGTATATAGAAGTCTTTGCTGAATCGGAGTGTGAAATTACTTTGTTGAAGAATTTGATTGTTGCTTGTATTTAAAAAAAAAAAACACCCATTTTTGATAAGTCTGGCTCTCTCTTTTCAGTTCACAACGTCAAACCAGAGTGCCTGGAGGCATACAACAGTCTAGAGTGAGTGTGTCACAGCTTTTAAACATTAACTCCACCATCAAGTTATGTCTTTAGCCCTTTGCTTCTTTAATTTGGTTCACAAGATTTACTTTATCCTTATTAGGAATCTAAAACTAAAACTAAAATGAATGTCTTTGGGTGTACTGTTGTGTACATGCTCTCTAAGTGCCTTGTAGTATTATAACTTTTGGCACATTCACACAATCAGTTTACTTCAGACGTTTTCTTTTATGCCGACCTCAGGGCTGAGGTGCAAACCAGGCTCCATCAGGACCAGGACTACCCATGTGAGGTGGTTGGAAGCTGGAATACCTGGTACGGAGAACAGGACCAAGCTGGTAAGCAGCAGTGAAACAGAAAAGCTGATGAAAAAATGATGAAGAGTGTCACCTTTTATTGATCACAGTCACTGTTTGCACTGAGCACTAGATTAATTTTTCCGTTTCAAGGCCTCATGAACGACACCACTTATTTTGAGTGGCTGCAGTTTGGCTGTAAATTGTTTGGCAGAGCATCACAGAAAAATGGACAGACACTACCGGATGACTCACCGCTAACACCTCTCATTCTACATATGATAATTTACAGTGTATAGTATACATTAAGAGCACTGAGCGACAGCACAAAGTGTTCACATGGCGATGGAGGTACTGTATCTCTTGGTTGTGTGGGTGGCATCAGTCCTCACACAGTGCTACAGTGACATCTGCTGTTCTGTCTTTGCAGTGCATCTATGGCGATACAGAGGAGGCTACCCAGCCTTGACTGAATGCCTGAAGAAACTGAACAATAACAAGGTTGACTGCTCTTTCTTAATTTTTTTTTCTTCATTACGCGGAGTAGGAAATTCAGTGCAGAGATGCTGAAGAAAAAGCTGATATTTAGAGTGGAACTTTAAACATTGATTTAAGATTATCTTGACTCTGCTGGAAATTACTTCACACTTAGGTATCTATATATTGCTTTTCTTCATTAATACATTTTCTTTTTCTAATTTAGGAATATTTAGAGTTTCGGAAAGAGAGGGCGAAAATGTTGATTTCAAGGCGAAATCAGCTCCTCCTGGAGTTCAGTTTCTGGAATGAACCCTCTCCCAGACCAGGACCCAGCATCTATGAAATGCGCACCTATCACCTAAAGGTATCCTCATAGTGTACATTATACAAATTAACAATGCATGATATATCCATATGTTTTATTTGAAACTATTATTATTTAAGCTTTGTTTACTTTTATTTAAATATAATCCAAATGTATTGCCTTTTTACATATTAAGACTACAAAATGACATACAGTTGCAAACAAAATTATTCAAGTAAGAAGTAGTATGTAAGGGTTTACACATTAAATGTTTTCAGAAGATCTATATATTTTATAAATTATGTTTGAGTTTAGTCAAATTTATCATTAAAATGTGTAGTGTAATGAAAAGTGGATCTGAAGATATTAGGATAGGCCTGTTACAGCTTAGTTGCTTTATGGAACATGGTTTATGGTTTAACTAGTGGAATCATTTATTGGAGATCGTAAAGGTTAAAGGATACTTGACAAAATATTGACATTGGGGTTGAATCATTTTGCTTGTGGGCCTTTTTTGGAGAATATTTTATGTTTTTACTAGTAGTAACCTTAACATTATGTTTTTAGAAATCACTCAAATATGTATTATTAAACTTTCTTTGACTGTTTACCAAGATTGTAGTTGATATATTTTAATTACATGTTATTCACATCATATAATGTTTACAGATTAAGGGGGCTGAATAACTGTGTATGTAATACAAATTTTTTTACCCATCAACTGAATGTGGGGATCATATTGTATATATTCAGGAGCCAGCATTATTAATATTGTCATGAAAAGGTGCTTTTAAAACACAAACAGGCTGAATTCCTGGAGACTATTGCTGTAATGACTGTCCATGCCAGTTTAGTTAGGTTAGTAAAGTTTTGTTCATATGGTTATATACTGAGCACTACCAGCTCAGCTTAGATCATGCTACTAAAGTAAACAAGACACTGCAGTGCACATTAACACCAAGAGTTTGGCTATTGTGTCTGGTCATACTGTTTCCTTTCTTGCCCATTCTAATATTCTACTAAGGCTGCCTATGTGCTTGACAGTTAATTATTCATAGTTGACTCATTGTATTGAGGAAAAAGCTGTCCACAAATGGCAAGGTGCACCTAACAGAGTGGCTGAAAACACAGCTATGATCAAATCTGTGTGCAATACTGAAGTCTTCCTGCATGTGGGCTCATGTGGTACATATACTTTGTTCTGGTTTAAATAAACAAGCCTCAAACGTGCTGTTAAACTGGTTTGACTGTGGTATTTTGTCTGATTAGGCTGTGTGTGTACATGTTGAAGAACGGTGCTGTGTTAAGGGGTAATAGTGCAATTCATTGTCATATCTTTTCATTTAAAACTAAACTTTTACCTCCTAACATGTGTTTCAGCCAGGAACTATGATTGAATGGGGAAACCACTGGTAAGGCTCAACAAGCTTAATTTGCTTAAATATAAATAAACAATATCAGTTCCCTGTACTTTTTCTAGTGTACGAATCAAGTATTAAAGGTATTCAGGTGATCATTATAACCCTGAAAATAAAATGTCTTACAACAGGGCGAGGGCCATCAAATACAGACAGGAAAACAACGAAGCAGTGGGCGGGTTCTTCTCACAGATTGGCGACCTGTATGCTGTTCATCATTTGTGGGGTGAGTATGTAACATCATCTCACAGATATTGTTCTGGCTGTTTGGGGGAGAAAGCAAGGGCAAGCTATGGTACCTCTCTCAATGGAAATGGTAGCTAAACAAGCTCTGAATCTGTACAGGCAGGTGTGTTAAAACTGGTGGAAAATGATGTTCTATTGTCTTGTTTAAAGTTCATGTAATACTGGGGGTTGATCATTAGAAGAAGGTGATAATTGCAGTACTTACTGAAGCTGAAACACAACATTTATTTTCCTCTGAAGGTTGCATGCCGTGTTTGCGTTAGTAATCTATCAATAATTTTGTCATCCTGATTTTAATTTTACTATGTTAGTTTATTCTGTACCAACAACATCTGTGGCATATTGTACTAAAATTGCCAAAAAATAAATGTAGAACAACATGACAATGTAAAGATCCAGTGTGTAAGATTTAGTGGCATCTAGTGGTGTAGTTGCAGATCGCAATTCAGTCCCTCCAGCCTACCCTTCCAAGCACGAGGGGAAACTATGGTGGCCACAAAATGCACGAAAAAACGTGGATGCCCCTGTCTAGAGCCAGTGTTTGGGTGGTCCGTTCTGGGCTAGTGTACAAACATGATGGTTCAACGCGGTGGCCTTCACAAAAGGGAGACCCGTGGTGTCTGTACATAAAAATGGCTAACTCTAAAATCTTTGACCCGTATCTCAGTGATGTTGTAATCAAGCCAACACTGAATTTCTGTCCCATTAGTTGGAGAATATCACGAGGTATCTGACTGTACCTACCTACCATCAGAAAGATGCGGTTGTTGTCATATGCTTCAAGAGTAGCAGGATGACTGACCTTGTGCATAAATGATAGCCCCTGATCTACAAAATATGCATGTTAAATATCCTATCTATAGTGACATAACTATATAAAATCAACTGTTTAAATGGATAAACACCAGAGTTCTGTGGGGATTAGATATAGAAATCTAATAGAAAAAGGAAGAATGTGTGTTTGTATGTTTGTTGACTCTCGGTACTAAGGTCTAACACAAGCAATTATATTATTTCTGCTTCCATAGTGACTCTGTCTCTGAAAGTTATTTGTACAGATAAAACTCTATTTGTCCTTTAAATGACATCACATCATAAATTCATTCACCCCTAATATAATATATGGTTTTGTTACTTGTGTTTACAGCTTATGAAAGCCTCCAGTCCCGCAATGAGACCAGGAACTCTGCCTGGCTCAAGGAGGGATGGGATGTAAATGTATATTATACAGGTAGGAGAGAGAGATGCAAACCAACCACACATGCATTTGCAAGGAAAAAAAAAATCTACCACTAAGCTCACTGATAAAATGACAATTACAGGACAATATGTAACATAATATACAATTAAGTATTTTCTCTGAAATGTTATGCTTTGTTGGTGAGAAAGGAAGCGGTTTTGCCTAAAGTCTGTTTCCATTTAGATCAAACCAGTGACTGAAGTTGATGTTTAACTTCATTGGGTGCAATAAGGATTGTTGCCTCAAAATGATAGAGATAGGATGGCAACAGCAACACAATAGGAAAGAGTTCAGACAGACAACTTGTATATTGACATATAAAGTTTACTAGACTCTCCCTGGGAAGCATATTGAGCAGCACATGAGAGCATAGGAAGAGATCAGTGCAGATCTCCCTCAGGGACCAAAGAGAAGAGAACCCACAAGGTGGTTGCTGAGGAGGTGGAGGGAGCAAACACAAATTCATTTATCAAGAGCAGTCTTGTAGCAGCCAGGACAGTGAGCAAGTAAGCATGGAGTTATACAATATGAGTTAGCATATTAGAGAGGAGCTTTCTTGACTAAACATACATCCAGGAAATGGTGTTGCAGTGCCACACAGGCCTGGCTTTATTGATAGTAATTTGTTCTGTGTCAGCTCATAAAGACACATTCATAGCTAGATAGATGTTTCAGCAACATAAAAATATATATGTGGGACTGTAAAACATGGTAAGCTTAATGAAAACAGTGAACATTCTAATGAATATATTGATTAATTTAAACTCTACTTGACTAACTGTGTGAAATAATGTACATATCCTGATTAATTTTGAATCATGGCGTGAAAGTTGCAACTTTACACAATTACAGATATTTGTATGCTTCTGTCCATGATCTTTGAGTTAAACCTTTTTAACATGTTTCTCACATTCTCTCCTCAGTGCCTTTGATCAGAAGCATGGAGTCTAGAATAATGATTCCCACCCAGAGTTCACCTTTGCAATAAGAAGATGAATGCAACTGGGAGCCTCTCTTTTACTAAAACTCACCTACTGCCAGGCGACGTGTAGATTTTTTTTTATCTGTGGGACAATCTGTGTTACGTTCAAGTATATAAACAAAAACATTTTCTGATGGTATGTTTGCAGCAGTGAGCCAGTCCTGACAATTACTGATGCAGGGTTTGTATCCTGAAATGCCCTCGTTTCCATAAGTTTAGGTCAAATATGTGGAAAAAAGGAATGACAAACTGGCACAATGAAATGCCAGATTATATGTGCTGCATTACTTGCATGTATATTACACTGTAGAGTGATAATTAAATGACTGTGTTGAGCTAGGTATGGTATGTTTCCTGCTTTTTGTTTATACCATGAGTTATGGTAATGGACGGTGTATTTGTTTTTCACAATGAAGGAATAGTCTCCACCCAGCCTTTTATGGGTGCACTTTTATGATCAGATATATACCACTCGGAATGAGATCACACTGAGCTTCACAGCTGTCACTGTGAAATTCATGTTTGATTTAACAAAAAGAAAATCAGACTACCTCAATCATTAAAATATCATAATTTTGTAATGTGTAAAGAGCCAACAAGGAGCAACTGTGTAACTTTTGGTATAAAGTGGTCAGTATTTTCAAAGTAAAAGTTGAGTAACACACAGCAGTGTGGTCACTGGTCGTTACAATACTCAGAACCAAGGTTACAAAGACAAAGAGAGGAAACTGGATCTTGGGACTTTCAGACATATGGATAAAAGGTTTTAAGCTATCCTTATGATTGTAAATTAACTTTGAAAACCGGTTTTACCCCTGTGTTGTAAATGGTTAGTCTGGTATCCTTCTCATGAAATTATGATAATAAAATCAGTTTGGTAGGAAAATCCTCCATGCGCAGAGCATGTCTGACATTTCCAGAAGAAGAAGAAGCATGAGCTGTTTAAATAAATACTGAGAAGTAGTTAAATTGACAAATAAGCACCAGGAAAAGGATGACAGGACTGACTAATTAAATTAAACAATGTGTAGGTCAAGCCCATCAAAGTGAAGAATATCCTAATCCAAATATACAACATCGACCATTATTTTAATTTGTCCGTCCTGAAAATTAAAATGGTCAGAAGTATGAGGACAATTGAGCATTATTACACCCATATGTTAATCAGAATCCGAATCAGAAATTCTTTAATAATCCCAGGGGGAAATTATTTAAATTTATAATAATAATATATAACACCTCATACCAAAACCATGGTTAATAATCTGCTGCTAGAACCACCTTCACTCTGTTGTGAAGGATTTCCACCAGATTTGAACCTGGTTGCAGGGATTTGATCCTGTTCTGCTATAAGAACATTTGGCTTCTGGTTGGCTACTGATGTTGGGGCAGTTAGTCCTGGCTCATAGTTGGTGAGGCGGTTTATCCCAGAGGTGTTGAATGGGACTGAAGTCAGGACTCTGTGCAGGCCAATCAAGTTCTTCTATGCCAAATTCATCAAACCATTTCTTTATGGGTCTTGCTTTGTACACAGGGGGATTGTTTCACTGAAAGAGTAAAGGGCCTTCCCCAAACTACTGATGTGACATAAAGAATAATTAAGAATAAAGAAGAATAATAATAGAGAACTATCACACCTTGACTGAACTGTTGATAAACCAAAGACATTCACTTTGTGATGCAGAGCCACAAGTAGATGTGTATATCACTGTATGCTTTTGCATTAAAGGAATAGTTTGACATTTTGTGGAAATGTGCTTATTTGCTTTCTTACAGAGAGATGAAAATATCTATTACTCTCATATCTGTCACTAATATTACTTCCTGAAGAAAGTCACATTCCATTAGAAAGTCTGCCATTCCCAAGCGTAGCTCAAACAACGAAAAACAGCTTCATCTTTGGACACGAAGTCCACAAATGTGTGCCCATATTTTTGGCCTTGCTTTAATTTTAAGGTTTAAAACCGCTAAACCGGAACTTGACTTTGTGCTGGTGCCATCACACTTGACCACACTCTGCTTGCGCGAGATATTTAAAACCATAAACCTGTAGCTTTAAGAGGAGGGGGCGTGTCGTTTGTGGGGCTGTCCCTTTTATTTGAATATACAGTAGTTCAGCGGGTCTGGAGTCGGATTGCGTCGGATGTTTTTTCGGCTTGTGAGCCGAACACAGCGGGACGTGGTGGTTGTACTCGTCGGCAATGCTCATCATCCAGGCCTATATTTAACAATCGAATGATATCACTCAGGCGTTTTCTCCGCCGCATGCACACACACACACACACACACAGAGGAGTCTGCACCGCACGCCAGCGACATTATGGACTTGCATATATTGGACCACAGGCTACGGGTCACCAGCATATCCAAGAATGGGCTGGTGAATTTCACACATCCCCTGATTAAACTGATATTTCTCCGGAACAGGACACGGTAAGAGGACTCGGTGATCGGGGTCAGATGTTTGTGTCGCTTCGGTGTGAGCCTGGTAATCCAGTACGGATATATGAGATAACCCACAGCGCCTCTTCATTCAGTGGGTGGCCGAGCCATTATTGGGCTATTTGCCTGTGCATGCCCTGCTATGCCTCCATGAATGATCTACTGCAGTGCATGTAGCTGTAGGTAATTACAGCAGTTTATGATTTATATTTAGAAATCAACGTTTGCAAAGCTGCAACCAAAATATCATAATATTTTGGGAACGTGTTCTTACAATGGTGATACAACTGCATCCGTTATGTTTCCTAATAACATTATACATGCACAACAATCTGCAGCAGTTTAGTTAACACAGCATTCTCATATGTCAACATGCATTTGTGTTATAGTCCTGTTAAATGCATGCATGAATGCCTCTTAATGCATGCTACTTCTACTGACCATAGCCAGCATTGATCAAACATTTTAAAAAGCATGCACTGCTCCTCCACTGCATTTTAGTGGGACCTTGTTTCTCCAGCACAAACTCCACCTCTAACCTCCTTTTACTCAAAACCAGCATCCAGTTTGCAAGCTGTCCGGATCTCATGTTGGCGTTAGTACCAGTTTTCAGTTAATCCCTGGATATCCTCTCATTGTTATGCAATTGTTTATTGCTCTGGCTGCCCCACATATGCATGGCTCGAAGAAGAACTAAACATCTGTCTTCAAGCTGCCCATGATATAGGCCAGGCAATGGCTCAGCTACTGCTCTCATGTCAAGTTACAAAGAATTTGTAAGCAAATGTCAGGGAAGATTTTCCTCCTCTGATCATCTTTGTGCTCTGTGACGTCTGAACTATAGATATCATCGCGCTGTCCTCGAGGATTTGCTTATCGTAAGCATCCAATGAGTATCAGCAACAGAACAGCTCTTTAATAATCAGTTCAGCAGACAACAGGATGAGTACATGCCTGCATGAGTGGGCTGTGATCCTGCTAAACACTTTTCTCGTCAAGTGACAGAAAAATTTGATTTTAATCTTGTATAGTTTTCTGTCAAACACTTAATATCCTTTTAGGCCTATGGCTGCATCCACCAGCACTAATTTGTCTCAGAGTATTGGGAAATAAAGTAGGTTTTAACATGTCCATAACAGACGCACAGGTGACTCACACTAACCTCATAAACTACTGTACTGTAAGTAAGTAAATGACAAGTCACTGTGAATAATACACAGATGTACTGCAAGTGCGTCTGAGGTACAGCCCAACAGGTTTGTGATGAGTAATACTAAGGTTCAAGAACTGTGTCCAGATTTACACTCAGTAACTGTGAGCCTGCATTTTCATTTGAACAGGCTCTTTGAAGTATCATTGTCGGGAAAAAAAGTAGGATGAGCCCAGAATGAACCAGATAAAGCATGCAGGCTGCATTTCCTTGGATTAGCAGGCCTGTCTGTTTTTCAGTGTTTTGTTGTGCATACTTTGGAGTTATGTCATGGTACTGTGGTGTGGATATATTTTTGCCTCGTTTTTCCTGTTCTTTTTCTGTTCTGTTCTTATTTTCGTTTTGTTTTGTTTTCCTCTGCTCAAACTATAGACAATGCATGCTTGGAAGTTGTGTAGAAGATTGAGTTCATGGCAACTCAAAACAACCGTGGAGCAAAAACAAGCCTGATTGCCTCGGCTGGTTTTAGCCATCTCCCTCTTTAGGCCCCTGCTATTCATTAGAGGACCAACTCCCAGCAAATGCACGCAAAGTGATTTGAAAGCCGTCCTGAGCAGAATTTTAAGGAGGTAATCACTTCTAGGAGCCAGGCTGATCCCATATTGTACGAAGGTATATTTTCCTCCAACATCATCCAACACAACTGAGGCATTGAGACACCTGCAGTGCAGTTGAAAGTAGAAAGTAGTCGAGAGACTTGTCTAGAAATAAAAACCCTTATTTGGTGAGGCGCAGCATGCCTTCTATCAGTGACACTGTTGATCTGTGAAGGTCAGCAATGTCTATAGTTATCGAGACTTTATGTTGTCAACAGGGTAAAGATCAGATGCCCTCAAAAGTAAGGATGTTTTGATTTAGGTCAGGTTGGGTTTAGTATAAGGTTCTGACAATGAAGAGTAAGAATGTGCTGAAGGATAAGTGTGTGTGTCTCTTCATGCACTCTTTTAAAAAAGCGTCTGCATCAGCCTGTACTGTTAACACAGACGGATGTGAATGAATCCTCCCACGATGGGCGAAAAAATATTATTATATCGTCCATAGTTGTTTAGTTTGGAGTTTATGGGCGTGGTAATAATCATAGCCCAGTATCAGCCCAATATATCAGTCTTCCTACTGTACTGTGGATGCAGTCCTGCGGGCTCCACACAGTCCTCCTTTCTTCTCTTTAGCAGCTCACTAACGAGAGCATGGGTTGGAACAATGCGTCAGCTGAGCCAGAAACCCAGTGGGGAGTTTTCCACTTGTCTGCTTCAGTGATCTGTCAGGGCTGGGGCTTTCACTCCCCTTGTTTACACAAGCAGGGATTTCTAGAAAAAACCTTCCCCATTGTTCTGAAAAAAGAGGAGCCTGTGAGAACGCTGTATATCGATTTGTAGGTAGCTGCGGAAGTAGCAGACAGCTTGGTCGTCCACTGGCGATGGGGCTGAGATAGCTTGGGGCTCCACTCTTATCATGTTTCCTCAGCTGGAGCATCAGTTGCAGAAAACCCACCAACACCAACCCTAACTCCCTCTCCGCCGCTACCACCCGTTGGTTTGTGCAGCTGGATCAAAGTCCAGACTCTTGTGTGCTTGGTTTTCATCTTCCCCACTTGGCCGCTCCCTCCTGTTGCTTCCTGGTCTCTTCAGATATTTTCTGTCTCCTCCTTTTCATGTGCCTTCATGCCTCAATAGAAGGAGTTTGTTTTTCAAACTCATGACCACCAGTGATAACGCACAGGCAATGTAGCACAGTTACAGAGTTCTGTACAAACATGCCCTGTGAAACAAGTTCCCAGAGCCCAAATTTAAGGAATTTAGAGCCACTGTTTGGTTTTTGTCCATTCTGGGCTGCTGTAGAAACATGGTGGCTCAACATGGCGGACTTCATGGAATGCAACCTGCAATGTCTATAGATATAAAAGGTTAATTCTAAGGTAACAAAAACATTACAATCTTCATAACAAACATACATCTGAATATTATGTTCTATTTCTGCCCATAGATCCTCCGAAATGTCACACACAAAATGTACCTTTAACCGGCAGTCCAAAACCAAAATGAATATTCAAATTACAGAGCTATAAAAGCAAGAACATCAGTAAATTTTTACATTAGAGAAGCTAAAACTTGCAAAGGATCAGTGATAAATTGATTTTTTACACAACATTTTCACTGTGATGCAAAAGGGGGGAGTTTTTTTTTCCCTCAATGAATACATATTTCTTTGGAGACAATGGAGACAACTACTTCTGCTTGAGCATAACCCGACCATTAGATAATGTGCTTCCTTCAGGCTCTATTTGTCCTCTACTTGTTTGTTTTTCTCTTTATGTGTTTATGTGGAAGTGGGAGTAAATGAAGTAAAGGGCAGAAAGCTTTGTTGTGGGGGGTTTTGCACCTACATGTTTGTCTAACCTCTACATGCATTATTTCTTTTTAAGTTCTACTAAGTGACACATAACAATATCTTACTTATTCTAGGTAATAGCCTTACTTAGACTGTGTGATAAAGAGGATTCAATAGTGATTGTAAAAACAATGTGAGGCAAATGGATTTTCCAGTATGCTTGTCAATATACTGTAATGAAGCATAGGTAAGGGGTTCTTATCTGTATTATCTGTACTTTACAAACAGGAAACCAAACAGGCAATGTTGTCTCACAGATGGAGTTCCCTTGGGTTGCTTGACAACACTTAACCGATGTGTTGCTGAGGTTTGGCTGTCTTGCAGGTGTAATATAAGAGCCTTCATTGTCTTCTCCAAAAACACGCCACGTGTGATAAAACTCCACACTTGATCATTTTCACTTGAAGGATAGATGCTTGGCATGCACTACCTACAGGAAACTGTGAGATGGGGAAGGTGAAGGGTCAACAGGAAATGAGTGGGGTATTATAACACAATGGGCTGGCTCAGCTCTCTAGCACAGCTGATAGTTAGTGTTACAGCATTCTCTCTCTGTCTCTCTCTTTGTCTGTCTGTGGGGTGATTGTCCCATCTCATGGCAGGGATTACTTTTTGCTGAGTCAGGAGTTTTGCGCTCTCACTCAGGCCTCTACTGTAATAGCTTCAGCTGACTGATTAGCAGAGGAAGAGGAAGGTGTATCTCCGGTGAGATGTTTTAAGAAAACAGGAATATGTAGCACTTCCTTTTTAGGGATTCAGAGAAAACAAAGAGAGGTCATCCACATAGAATTTGCTCATATCATCTCTCTACAAAAAGTTAAAAAGCCTTACTGACTCAACAACAAAGCCATTGAAGGGCAAGGGCTTTCTTTTGGCTGCTTTGAACTATAACACAGCTGGTATTTTGTATGTGTTATCTTGTTGCATCCAACTGTTAGTGAACACATCCTCTCAAAGCTTCAGTTCCAACCTTTGTTGCTCTGAGAACAGTGAAAAGTGAGGGTTTTAAAGCTACACTTTCCTTGATTTTTGCTTTAGCACTATCACTATAAAAATTCACAAGACTTTTTTTTTTAACAAGGAAATTGATACATGTAAAGCAATAGTGCAACATTTTGGGAAATTTGCTTTATTTTCACATTCTTGCCAAGAGTTAGATGAGAAAATCAAGGCAAGGCTAGCTGTTTCCCCCTTTGCTCCTCTAGAGTTGCAAAGTGGGATGAGCCGTTGGTTTGTGGAGATAACTTGAAAGTTTTCTTTAAAAGCCTGCTGGATAATTGAACAGTAATAGGTTTATGTTAAGGCCATCAGTTTTAATTATTTGAACTTTGTTTCTGAGAAATAGAGCTCAATTGCAATCGGTGCTATAGTTGCCCAATTCATTTCAAATCAACACTGTTCTAACGCTGTTGTTCCTCTTCTATGCTCTTGATTTGACAAGGAGAATTTTATGCCCATCCAAGTCTTGGAAGTGCTTTAGTCACCCAACATTAACCATATTCACACAGGCACTGGTAGCCAAACCTTTCTAGACGTTACCTGGAAGAGCTGTGTGTGTGAATGCAAATGTTAGAATCAGATGGACCCAACATTAAACAGACTTTAGCCTGCCAGCTCCCTAGTACAAAGTCTGTGTAATGTCCAATTGAGCACATGTGTGAATAGAGCAGTCAGTTGTCCCAAGAATTCACAGTAAGCCGACATTGCTCCGAGTATAGTTGCTTCATGCTCTACTCTGCCTGTCCAAAAACATGTAGTATGGATATCAATGCAAAAGCCAGAATTGTTACGGATGAGTACTCCTCCTCCTGCCCGCTCTACCCAGGTGCTACCCCTTGCCTAAACCAAATGAAGGATTTCCATGATGTGAACATCCATTTGACATGGCCAATCTCTTGTAGTGTGCTACATGTGTGAAAGGGCAGTAGTTCATATGAGAAAACTGCTATTGTGACAGACAATATTAGGTGACTCTATTGAACCTCATTTGCCCTCAGGAGTTTGAGTTAAGAGTATATTAAAAGACCTTGGTGTAGGCAGGCCATTGAAGTTCTGTTTGGCCTTCTCAAAGTGAACAAGAGGCAACAGGACAAGTGCAACTTCTGGGTTACACAGTAACCAGTTGTCTCTGTTTACAGCTCACCTAATGATTCAGTTCTATCCCAATCTCCTTGTTTTCGCTGTTACACTTACCAAAGATATTTCTTTGGATGTACAGCAAGATGAATTTCTCCCATCCAGAAACTTGATTTAATAGCTGATGTAATCTAAGAAAGTGTGTGTTTCACTGCCCACTTCTTTCCACCACGCATACCAGATCCCTATTTACTTGCTTTCAGCTTTTTTTTCACAAAAGCAACATTCAATAGAACTGAACACTGGGGCCAGACCAGGCAACAGCCCCTGAAAGCAAATGCTTTTGGCCCCAAGCCTGATGGAGATACAAACACCAAACTGGAGAGAGAACGTATACTAAATTGCAATCAAGGATTTTAAATATTCATTCTGGCAGTTCTGAGATCCCAAATAACAACAACTTGATACCATCTATTTATTCTTTTCTATCTTTGTAAATGTCAGTCAGTTGGCAAAACTGCACTGTCTTTTAAAATATTTAACCAAAGTGGCTCTTTTTTTAGATCAAGGATGCCTAGAAGAAGATAGAAGATAGAAAAAGTTTAAAATCTTATGGATGGGTGGATGACTCATAGCCTGCAAAATGCAGACCTGAGTGGTGCTGGTTGTGCAGAGACATTTCAGCAAGTTATAAACTTGTAGTAGTTGATAACTGAAGCAGTGCCCCAGTTTGTTTTGTTACCCATCGTTTGCTGTAGACAAAGGAGCGATGCCAGCATAAAGCTGAGCTTGTGCTCGTGCTAATTGCGTGACAGTCTGTCCTGAAACCAGTGCAAATTTAAGAGAACCCCATTTTTTAAATTCCTGGTAACGAATATTATGAAAATCTGAAGCTGTTGTTGGTTGCAGATGAATAACACTGTTCTCCTACTCTTTCTCCTTCCTCTCCTCCTCCTTTATCTCCCTGCCTTTCATGACATCTCATTTTCCAACCACATGCCTCTCTCCATCTGCACTTCCTCTCTTGTTTCAGATGCAAGTTTTTCAGTCTGACGGAGACACCAGAGAACTACACAGTTGTTCTTGATGAGGAAGGATTCAAAGGTAAAACACACTTGTGCACACATTTCTTTCATCACTTTCACCAGGCAGGGGTTTGTCATTGTCCTTTCACACTCTGACTGCTCTATCCCCAGTTATACACTATATAGTGATACCATAAAGTATACATTATATACTAAGCTTTCTAGTAAAGTGTTTGGAAGCTAGAATTCAAGAAATTATTGTACCCTGGCTTAATATTTTGTACTAACAGAAATGATGCAAGGAGTGCATTGATGCACGTCATCAACAATTTAGGGAAGCTACTGCCAATTTCAAATTTGGAAACTTAAAGGGGAACTCGACCAATTTTACACTTTAAGATCAGTTTACTAGTCATGGGGAGTACCGTTCAGTTTGTGGAAACAGTAAAGTCAAGTCCACAAGGGACCCTAGTAACGTCACCAGGGTTATCTCAGCGTGGGTGTTACAAACTGGAGGTATGGAGTTTGACAGACATGCTTATTTACCAGATAGGGAAGGTTTAGAAAAGATGCTATGGATTTGCATTATGGGAATAGTAGGATCCATCAGTTTTGGAGCTTGACTCATAAAAGCAACTAAAAGTCAGTAAATCTTGTTCTGCTGCATCAGTTTTTACCTTATTATTTTTGGTTTTTGGCAAGTTCTCCTTGTTTTCTTAAGACTTCATGGAGCTGTCTTACCGTCTACTACTTGTTTTAATATTTATCAACTTTATCTCCTCCAGAGTCCAACAACACCACTCAAAAAATCAGGCAAATTGTGCCATTTTCTGTATGAATTACACTAGTCTTGCCACGTAGTTGGCTTTTAACTGGTATGTAGCCTTGAATTTGGCCACAGCATAGGACTTTGTTGTTTTACCATTCTAATGTTACTTCCTTCCTTCTTTGTTCCCTCCAGGCCTCTCAAGGTAGGATGGGTGTATATGACCATACAATCTTGGAAAATAAAGCTGTACAAGACCCAAATAAGTCTCCTCAGCTTCAATGTATTAGAGATCCAACATTTTAAAGACAGAATGTGGATTTGCCTCTGGTGTTTCACTGGTGAGAAAATGTAAAATTTATTTCACACCAGCAAGTGGGCCTCTGACTTGCAAAGGTCAAGTGCAGCTTCACAGAAATACTTGCAATTATTATTATTGCTTATTTTGGATCTAAAGTTCAAGCTGCACTTAAGGTTGAAAAAAAGTTTTGTCAAGACTTGAGTGCATTTTGATAAAAAAAGTACAGTCAGATATATAAGTGTTTAGAAGCAAAAGACAACACACAAAAACGACCACAGCTATTTAAGTGTGCCAGCAAATGTCTGTCATCAATAGAACTAACTGCTGTCAATTTTTTAGTTAATTGGTTCATAATTTGTCTCAAATGTGAGCAGTTATTTCCTTTTCAAATGATTTTGACTGCAATATTTTCAGACAATTTGAGCAGCATTTAGCTTTTTAAGGCATTACTTTTGGACAATTGTGCTTTTATTTTTAAAAAATTGTATGCACTGAACAATTAATAGATTAATCAAAGAGATAATGGACAGATTAAAATAAAAGAATATTTGTTCATTAAGTCCTCTGCCAGTGTTTTGCCTCTAGAATTTACCCTTCTGTCAGACTACACTCTGGTGACACACTCACACTCAACAGGGCAATTCTCTGTGTACATGCTATAGTCCCATCCACTCCCCATCCAGCCATTTCTGTCTGGTCCCTTTTACACAGATGTAGTTGTTAAAGGCATATATCGCCTCCGGGTGCTCTGTTTCTCTCCCTGTCTCCTTTGCTCTCCTTCTAACTGAGTTCCTATTTTAAGAGGTGAATGCTGGTGTAGCGAAGCCACAAGGGGCCGTCTGTGACAAATTATGCCAACCAGAACAGTGGCTCTTTTGAAGGGGAGTAAAGAAAAGGGAGTACTCGCTGCAGGAGGTAGAAACCATATGGTAATGTTTTTAGTTAGCTGAATGGTAATAAAACCATAAGCACATTAATGCATTGGTATCAGGTCACACTTGACGGCCAAGTACGTTGTGGTGGTGTAGGTGCCCTTGGCCTCTCCTGGGCAGTTTTACTTTACCGTGCAGTATAAATAGTAGGGGCGTTTTAGGTTTTCAACGTAAAGGAAGAGACAGGAGGTGGTGGAGAGGAAGTGTGTATATGTTCTACCAAGCTGCAGACAAGAGGAAGTCGTTACTTAAAGCCTGCCTCATAGTTCACACGTTCACAAACATAATACATCGCCAGTAACATGAAGTTGCAGATGTTAAACACTCAAGCTGCTTTTTCTTTTAAGTTACCAAATTACTATTGCAGTCACTGAAGAAATGTTGGTTGCACGGGAGTCCCTATAGATTGTGTATGTGTGTCACAGGCCGTGTGGTTTGTTTTAGCTGGTGACTGCTGTTCTTGTTCAGTGGTGCAGTTTGGCTGTGTCTGAGGTATGTTGCCATGCTTTTTTTTTTTACCTCCATGAAAGCGATAGCCGTGGCTTTTGTGAATTTCACCTACAGCTTAGAGAAGTTTCACATCTAAAACTGCCAGGAGAAAACAAAAGCACTGCATTTTGTATAGCTATAGTTAATAAGAATCCATCTTTATGTAGTAATCAAGTACATGTGTTCCTGTTTAGCCAATATATCTATTTTAATCCTTCAATAAAGATGTTATTTCATTCTATATTCACTAAATTAATACATATGTATCAATATATTGATAACTTCCATTTAACCAAAAGTACAGTCAATACCTTTTTATACAAGTCTTCACTACATATATATTATGTGAGTCTGGACAGACATGAATATAAACGGCAACTAATTCTCATTTAAAGACTGTTTCCCCTAACATATGAATACATAGTTTTGCACTTTATCATTACAAACTGTATTTCTGGCACTGCTGATTTGGCTTCTTTAGAGCACTTGTTTGTTTGGCTTTGAATACTGACATATAATGTGAAGCTGTTGCTCACATTGTTTGTATTGATGATTCATTGGTGGTTATTGTGGTGGTTAGTTTTGTACAGTATGTTGCCATCCTCCTGTGTTTGCCAGTTTCAAATGGGCTCAACATATTGTGTTAATTACAGTGTTCGTGAAGTTTTGCACCTGCAAAATAAGCTTCTCCTCATGGGAACATCTATTTGTTTTCTTATTAGTGTGGCGGTTGCACCACTTTTTTACACAGGGGTTTTTTGTTTTTTTAAGTATAAGAAAAATAGATCTTATTTTGGTATTGCTAAGGGAGACTGAATAAATCCACCCAGTAACCACCAGTTTGGCTGATTTGAATCTAGTTGTGTTTCAGTATTGAACTTTCATAAAGGCAAAGGACTTGCGTTAGGTTATTATTAAGTAATGTAAAAATTGGCAGAGCAAAGGCAGAGATATCTGGACTATTTTAGTCTCTGCTATGGGTCAAGTTCCAAAAACATTGCGTCCTACATATCCCATAATGCAATCCAGTAGCATTTTTCATCAGATCTTTCCTACCCTCATCTTTCAAACTCCATGCCCAGTTTATAATGCACATGTTTGGTCAACTATTTCACATTTTAAGAAGAAAACCTAACCCTCCATAGCCACAAAAGATATGCAGTTATCTATGCAGATTGAGTAAAGAAAGATGGGTTGTATTGTCCCCTTAAAATAGCATCTAAATGACTATTTTAATTTGCAGTTAGGACCTGCTGCAAATATTAAAATATAGTCACTAAAACGCTGTTGAAACCCAGATGTTTTTATATAAAACATGAGCATAAAGTCATACATACTGTTTGTATGCCCACTAATCAACTTTTCTTCTTCTTGACCCGACTCAGAGCTCCACCCTTCAGAGCATCTCAAGGTAGAGAGCTCCATCTGGCTGCCACTCAACGTGGTCTCCAATGGCAACTCCTCCAGCAGCTCACAGGCTGTTGGCGTGACCAAAATCGCCAAGTCAGTCATCGCTCCTCTGGCCCAGCAGCATGTGTCTGTCTTCATGCTCTCCACTTATCAGACTGACTTTATCCTGGTAAGTACTATCTACTGTAGTAGTCTGTACTTTTTTAGCTTTTTGCTTCATTTATTCCACTCCAGGCTAATCAGTTTTCACAAGTATCTCAAAATGAAAGAGACACTTTAAGCCGTTCACTGTTGTATAATTTAGAGATGTCTGGAGCAATATTTCAAACACTCTCAGTGTATAAAATCTTCAGACTAATCTCGCAGTGAACCCTTTCACCTACAGAGCACTGTCAGACAAAAGAACCACAACGTCTGCATTTTGTCCACTCACCAGTTTTGCAGATAAGGAATTAATTCTCAACTGAGCTGAGAGCACTGAAAAGTTAGTCGATGTATTACATGCGAAAGTGTTAAGTAGGCAAAAATAGATAACAGCTTGACAGACGTTTGTGTCAGCAAGTATATTAATGGTCTACATGCTGGTTGAGCTGGAATATTCCTTAAAGCGAGGCAGTATTGTGCCCCGAAATGACACAGCACAAACTGAAAATTCTACAAATGAGCTCATTGTAGACTATTTCTAAACAGAATTGTCGATCGAGGTGTGTGTACATATTTCACAACGCTGTAAAAACATCCGTATTTTATGTCGTACATCTATGTTGTGTAGGTGAGAGAGAAAGACCTATCTGTAGTCATCAGCACTCTGGAGGAGGAGTTCAATATCTACAAGGAGGTGGGAGGAGAGTCTGTCCCTATGCACTGTCAGGATGTTTCCAACGGCCTGCAGAAGAACGGCAAAGAAGGTAGAGGTCACGGTGCTGTTCAGTATTAATTCACTAACCTCTCAGGTATCGATTGAGCATGAAGTTAAGATCTTCTAGCACCTACTTCAGGTTCTTTGTACAAAGTGTCAAGACTTAACACATAATCACAGGTCACAAATCCAACATGTGAGTGCACCATGCATCATTGCTTTTTCTGCGGGATTTAAGGAGTAACTAAAGTAGGAGTATTGTTACGTGGTTTAAACAACTTATATTGAAAACTACTCAAGTAAAAGTGTACAGACAGCTTAGCTTTAGGAGACTAGTCTAAGAACTGTTACTTGAACTTGTCACGTATACATTACAATGTACATTGTAAATATTCTGTCAGTTTTAGATGTTGGTGTCTTGTTTGAGAGAGAGTAATTTTTCAGTTTTTTTAATTTTGGAATTGTTATGTACCTGACCTTACATTGACATATACAGCACACGCAAGTTTATGGTCTAAACATGAAATTGCTGCTTTCTTAAGACGTCACATGCAAGGCATGGCAAAAACAAATAGCTTTCCTGTCAACAAATGCAATTATACATATAGAGCGTGGAACTGTATACAATAGGAATCAGGACATTGTTGTTCATGCTCTGTTATTAAGCTGTGGACATGAGACCTGAGAACACTAGTGTTCCTCGATGTTATTATTTTATACCTCAGCATTGCTGTTGTGAGGAGGAAAAAAGCTGTCCAAAACAGTTGAGTAAATGCAAAAACCACTGTCTCACATGGATATTTCAAGTCAGTGATGTTCCAACATATATGTGTGAAAGCACCTTTAGTAGTAAACAGAAAAGTTTAAAAGAGCTATCAGATCTGTGTCCTTTACCAGTCAACCTCTCTCCAATTCAGTCATCCTCTCTAAAGGGGTGACAGCTTTGTTTTAATAGGAAGTTGTTGTTTTTTGTTTTTAAATGGCCCCAAGGGAGAAACTAAACAAAATCTATTTTAACGAAATACATTAATAGGTTTTTTTTGTGCGTAATATGCATGGAATATTAAGTTACAGCTACTTGTCAGCAAGTTATGTTTCATGATCCAGCCCAGAGTTTTCTGACATTAATCAAACCCTGTGTGCCATTTATGAAGAATTAAATTAAATGTACACAGCCTGCTGTTTAGGGAAACCCATTGTGCTTAAGACAGCCATGATTGACTTAAACAAACATAACAATATATGGCATTATATAACGAAACAATGCAAACAGGCTGGGTCCAGTTTCAGACATAAAGGAACATTTGAACTGCTGCGTCCTTTACAGGAAGTTTTTTTTACATCCCCATGAAGTACAGGACATGTTTTACGACAAGGGCAGAACATGCTGAAAAATGTGTCCACCCTTTCACAATCTTTCATATCTTTGCATCTCTAAAACGTCTCAACATGTTTGTTTTTTTATGTATATCAGACTGTTTAAAAACCTTTCACCCACCAGCTAATGCAAACTGCACTGACTGACAAGCTGTAGGCACATTCGTGACCTAATTACAGCTCAAATTCTAACCGCACTCCTTTTATCTGCAAGACTGAAGGAGAAGATAAAAATAAAGTTGAGAAAAAACTTGGCAGGCATTATTAGAGTTTCTGACCAATAACTCCCTCTCTATTATGGTCTCCATAGTATAGACCAATCAAATTATGAAACATGGATGTCAATTGTCAAGTGCAGTTTTTTAGGGCGCTGAATAAACTTTCTCATAATGCAACCCAGTAGCATATTTCATTTAGTTGATCAGTTGATAATGCTCTTCTGTCAAATATTTAACATTTTAAGACTAACACAAAATGATTTTCTCTGACTTGAGAAAGCCTCCTCAATAGCCACAGAAGATGTTATGCAGCTGTTTTTGCAGATTAAGTAGTACCCTCTATTACAGGTAAACTGAGCATCAGCAGCATCTAAATGACTGTATTTTACTGTGTGGTTAGGACCTGATGCACAGTTGTCTCGATTTGTTTTCTGCTGGCGGTGCCCACACTGTCAGACTGTTTGGGCTTATAATCAAATTCAACAGCAAAATGTTCTTTGCTAAAGCTTTGTAAAGTTTAGAAATTTGTAAAACTGTATATGAATTAAAAATGCCAGGAAATACACTGATATTTAAAAAGTATAAGAGTACATTTACTTACATTACATTTTCAAAGTTCCAGTTTTACTCTGAAACCACCATCAGTAAAATCTCTGTCCATTTTAAGTAACTCTACTTTTATTGTATATAAGGGAAACAGGGGTATCTTCACCTGCTCTTAAAAGTATGTATTTTGAGGTAAAAATGTCAAATTCAATTATTCAATAAACAAATAGATCTAGTGTTAAAGAACATACACAGTAGCTGTATTGCAGACTATAAACTAACACTGTCCTTGCTCTTCCAGCCATGCAGCCTACAGTTCACCCGGTGCTGATCCCCCAGAACCAGTTCTGTGTCATGTCTCTGGACCCAGACACACTTCCGTCCATCGCCACCACACTTATTGACGTCCTCTTTTATTCCAACAGGTGAGATGTTGCTTGCTCTCGCCACTGCAGTACCTCTCTGAAACACAAGGAGGCAGCACATGATGCAAACTAGACACCAGCTTGTAATTATTGCAAGTTTTACAGCCAGGTTGTGCAGTTTAATGTGCGCTGACATGATGCACACTGACCAAAATGTATTGGTTTTTCCATCTTTCTTTTCCTCTTGTTTTCCTTTTCAAAAGTATGTTTTATTTTATTTTTTTTACATTTTACAGTTACATTTACAATCCAAAGCAAAAATAAAAAGTTCACCTAGATTATCAAAGCTGTAAAAATTTTTAATTCAAATAGAAGATTAAATAAACTTCTACCCTAACCTGGACTCCGAGACATTTGGCCACAGGTCTGTAGCACACACTGATCATTATATAAATTCAAATTATATATAATATATAATTTTTAAAAGTTTTAATTATTGTATTTTTATTCCTTTTGAATAACTGTTCTCTCTGTGACTCTGTTCGTTTCCTGTTCTTAACTACTTTATTTTGTGACTGTATTATAATTTAAATGAGCTCTTTTTAAATTAATGCTGCGTGTCTCCTCCTCTCTAGTCCTAAAGAAGATGCACAGTCGTCTCCCAGCCAGGACGTGGACTGCATCAAGTTCTTCTCCTTCTCCCTCATTGATGGCTACATCTCACTGGTGATGGACACTGAGGCTCAGAGACAGTAAGGATTTCTATATCTTTTTCACTGACCCAGTTGACCTTTGACACCATAATAATATGCACTTAAAATGCTTATATGATACAAACAGTGGATCAGCAGAAACAAACAGCATCCAGCAGTTTTAATTGAATGTTTTCCACACTGTCTGCAAGCTTTTATCTGGCGGTTGATGATTTCCCCTGTCTATCTCTGAAATTGACTTGGTTGCTTGGTAGAAATCAGTGCTTGATCTTTGTGCTCTAGGTTTCCTGCTGATCTTCTCTTTACCAGCTCTTCCGGGGAGCTGTGGAGAATGGTTCGTATAGGAGGACAACCACTTGGCTTTGGTAAGCCTACTACCTTTTTAAATACCTCGAAATGTAGTAATTTATAATTAAATTTAATTTATGCAGTTCAGAGATTATTGGTCATATGGTACAGTCCTACCTGCTTCTGGAACTGCGTCCCCTGCTGGGATTCATCAGGCGACTGACTAGTGCCATAAATCAGATCAGAAATCTTTAAGGTCATACAAATGGTCCAACTCTGATCAAATATGTTAAAAATCTTAACAAAGTCTGCATACCTACCAGAAAGTGCAAGCGAATTATGTTTATTCCATGGTCTTTTAATGCCTGTAAAAAATTCAGTAACTTGCGCAGCCATCATCTGAGCAGATACCGAGTCTACAGTATCAACATCTTTTAAATTATGTCTTGTGTCAATAGGATATTAAAATGGGCAGTTTGAATTACTGTAAGACTGACAGGCTCTGTGAAATTATATGAATGAATTAAAATACATATCAAATATTTTTTTTTTAAATAATCTTTCTATTTCCTTTCATTCGTTTTTTAGCCTTTGAGTGTGTATGATTTAGCAGGCTGAAATGGAACATAATATTAATAAAAATGTGTTTATTTGTGTATAATCACCTGAAAATAAGAATCAGTGTGTTTTTGTTCGTTTCACCTGGTAATGATTGTGATACTAATTTCAGTGCGTTTCTCTCTTTGCTTTTTAGACGAGTGTGGTATAGTCGCCCAGATATCTCAGCCTCTAGCTGACAGCGACATCTCTGCCTATTACATAAGCACCTTCAGCTTTGACCATGCTCTGGTGAGTTCAGCATCTTCTCGTCATTAGTTAGGCCACCACTGTTGTTGTCATGGAAGTCAGAACTTGAAACTCAATACATTTGTGTCTCAGTCGCGTGAGAGCATTACTAAGTGTTTAATCACATTCTTATGCATGCTGACAAAGGTAAAGGGTCCATCCTTATTCTTCACGATCTCACTGCTGCCTTTGATACCACCCATCGTGCCATTCTACTTGATACATTACAGAACTGGGTTGGCATTCCTGGTACAACTTTAAAGTGATTTCCACTTCGCTCTAAAAATCTAGGCCTTTTATCCATTCCCCGCTCTAACTGCAAAACTAAAGGTGACCGTGCCTTTGCTGTTTTAGCCATGTTTGTATTTATGTTCCCTATGTATGTATATGATTGGGTATGGTTATGTATGTACACATTTATATGTATATATGCATATAGATACCCATATATGTGTATGATTGTGTGTTCATATTCATTTGTTTGTTTGTAAAGCACTTTAACTGTGTGTTTTAAAAAGTGCTATATAAATAAAGCTTTACTTACTTATTAAGCAGTCAAGGCACAAGGAAAAACAGGTTTAAAGTTCAAAAGTTGGGATAATTTTCACAAAAAAATAGATACAACAACAGAAATTACTGAAGGCAACTTTGTTATAGGGCTCTTAAAAGAGGTCAACAAAACATAACTCTACTGAAAAATAAGGATAACAAAACAAACAGACCTAACAAAATGAGATATTAGAGCAGCTGATCAAACCAATAAATACACACAGGGAAGGACAACATAGACAATAACTCAAACTCAACACAAACAAACAATGATGCCCCCATGTTGCCAAACCAGGAAGGGTTACTCAGCTACCAGGCAACTCAAAGGCACAGAAAAATGAATTAACTAAACCAACTAGCAATATGACGAAGCAATATAAACTAAAACTGTTTGCTAATCTAGAAAACTATTAAGGTCCTAATAAACAAATTATTTCTAACACCAAACAAACTGATTGTCTTGTATGTCATTTTAAGTAACTCCTAATGAAAGTAACTCACCATGAGGTAATGATGTGGATGAATATGACAACCTTACATTTGCAATTGTGTGTCCACCACACTCAAATAATGATTACTTTTAACTCAGCTATTTAAAGATTTCAGGTTTGGTTTCTAAAAGTGGGAGATGTAAAGATAAAGACCAAGCATACGTCACATTAAGCATTCCTGTGAAGTTGAATCATGAGGAATGCTTAAGGCAGGTGTTTCCAAATAAGTTTGAGGGTGTTTCTACTGACCTAAGCATGTTTGTTATTTTTATTTAAAAAAAAAAAAACAATATGGCCTTGCGAGTCTGGAAAATGAGTCTAATATATGATTTAAATTTAGATATGCAGTTTTTCATCCGCGGTTATAAAATGATTGCATTCTGATACTTTGACCTGATAAAATAATCAAAAGTTTAGATTTCTCATTTAGACTTTGTCTGGATTTAATAAAACAAATTCAGGAAGGCATAAAATAATATATTATATAATAAATACATTCACAAGTACTACATATGATGCCAAAACTTTCCTTATCTCCATATGAAATTTTAGTTTTCCCATATACCACATAGTGATTGTGTTAAATGAATCTGTGTCTGTCTGCCAACTTAGTCAGAAACTCCTGCCATCTGTATTATCTTGAAAATTACCCAGAATGGTTTATCTGGGTCATTTGTTTGCCGTTACCCAGAACCTTATCGCAAAATGTCTGTCAGCGATTGAATCATGCAAAGCTGAATTTCCCTCCTGCATTAATGAAATTGATGCATTATTTATGCCTCTGCTGTCAAGAGTGGAGAAGACTGTTATTTCTTCAACTGATCATACCTGGGTTACGAGTGACCATTTCTGTGTGTTGGTTTAACCTAGACTCTTTGTCCATTGATGTAAACTGATCTCAAAGGTCTAAATATATGGCCCTGTCTCTTTCTAGTCACTATCCCCTAACAGTTGCTCTCCCTCCTCCTTGCATCACAAAATATTCACACAACGTTCAAGTCTGAGATAGTTGGGCTGTTTAATCGGCCTAGTCACCAAATACTGACCTAATGTCAGCAAAAAGAGGTGTGAACAAAGGTGAATCAGTGATGTTGAGTCTTTGGGTATTCTGCATGTATTCAACTGTTCTTTTCACAGTCTTACCATTTTTAGCGTTAACTCACTTACATAGTTGCAATATGCAATGTCGCATGTCATTGAGCTTAACATAACCATGCAGTGTCTTAGTCATACAAGATCATTGCACACATTGTGTCATTGAGATGGAATTCTATATTTACCAGAAACTTGTGCATTTGAGTGGGATTCTAGTCACAGACTAGCATAATAATAGCAAATTCCATTGAGTAAATAAACTCGCTGTGACATCACAGTGTCTTCCGCTCGTAGACTTCTAAGAAATGTCTACTTGGTAAATACGTGCAATCAGGGGTGATTATCTCTGCAGTGCTATTGGTAAGATGAAAATATTGTAGGTACACACACACATTAGATCATTTTAATCACTAGCAATAGTTCAAATAGATTTAATGGCATCAGAAAAATATTTTGTATAGTAATTAAAGCTTGTGGTGTAATTACACGTGTAATCCAAAAACAAAAAAGTGCACACTGCAACTTAAAAATCTGGGTTTCTCAAATCCACTGCTTTATAGTTGGTATAGTTTTTACAGCCTATGACGTTGTTAATCTGTAGGTCTATGGTTGGTTGGAAAAATTGGTACAGCCAAATTTTCTAAAGAGAAAGTCCTTTAGAAAGCTCTTGATTGACTACTCACAATAACAGAAGTAGTTGAGGACATATCCTAACATGAAGCAGGGTAGACTATGTCTGGAATGTGAAAGAACATGTGCATATGGGATGATTGCAGGTCACTGTCTGACTCGTATCTCAGCTAATTAGTCAGAATAAGTACCCTAAAGTTACTAAAATCAATCCAGTGTATATGCTTTATAATTGAATAGCTCTGCCGAAATGCTGCACCTTGCATTCTGTGACAGCTGACATCAAACAAGATCAGATTGGGTCAATAAAACTCAATATAGCCAATACCAATCAGTTTAAAAAATGCCTTGATCAACACTAATACCCATCTTTGAAACTGGATTAGGACATCCCTGCATTTTCTCCTACTTGGGGTATATAATGTTTACATATTTTGGGTTTATAAAGTGATAATATGTATGTGTTTACCACTTGTTCTGCTGCCCCTAAGTGGCCCCAAAAAAGCAATAATACAGCTCTTTAACTTTGCTCTACTATTTTCTAGGTCCCCGAGGAGGACATACTGAGCGTGACAGACATGCTCCAGCATCAGAGGAAGGAACCAGCCACTAGTTGATTTCTGAAGTCCTGTCTGAGCTGGATGATCCTAGCTCAGTGTACCGCCCCCTCACTCCAGCTCCAGTGGCCAGGGGTGGCAGGCCAGCAGGAAAGGAGGCTAACCCTGTGCCTAGACTAGCACTGCATTGCCAGCAGTATTAACTACTATGAACTTGCCATGACCACCAGAAGCACTTCTCAACGGTGTGCCACACTGTTTGTCTGTGAGGCCTCCTGTCTTACCTATCTAAGGCAGTTATGCACTGAGTCTCAGGGGGCCCACAAGCTCACACATGCACATACAAATGCACAATCACTCCTAAACACACACACATCCAGACACACCCTCTTCCAAATTCAAATTCAGCACAAAGTCAGACATATGACTATGTATGACTCTCTTTCCCTCTAATACAGGATTTGGGATCTCAAGGTATATGGTCAGAAGTTGAATTTTTTTATATTATTTTGCTGCATACAGCAGAACACAATCACATACAATTCACCAGTGCTATAAACATACAACTTAGTCTTCCAGTAATGTTTTTATCACAATGGGTCTAAACAACTGTTTGTTTCTTTAATTAAAGGCCATTCGCAAGAATTGCAATTTTCCTTTTTGTAAAACTGAACGTGTGAAGCTTGAAATGCAAGGCAGTTGTAAGAATGTTGATCTTAAAATGATTTTCATGCAAAAGAAAACTGAGAATTTCTAACAGGGCTCACTCTATTTGGTTTGAGAAGAATGTGCAGGTAGTTCTTATATATTAAAACTACTACAAATGCTGTCAAGCAGGACAGTAGGCTTGGTTAGAGTTGTTTTTTTTTTTAAGAGGTCAGCATTTCTTAACCCTAGTATTACCCAAGGTCAACAACACTATGTCTTATTTTTTGTTATTTGCACAATAAACTTTTGATTTAGCTAATATCACTTAAATGTTTTCTTTGGTACAACTACATTTTGTACAATTTGAAGTAAAAGTATTCTGTCAACATTTGTAATTTTTGTGCTTCTTCATTCAATAAAGAGTATTGAAAATAGGCATGAGCCAGTCCAATTCTGACAATCATAGCAACAAAAAGTATTGACTACCTCTTGACAGTTTTTTTTTGTCATTCATCACTAATGAGTCATGTATTTGAAGTTAGGGTGTTATTTCCGGGTTTAACAGGAATGGAACATGTGATTGTAGTAATAATAATCATAATGAATTAATGAGAAATTCCCGATGATGCTTCGCCTGCTTTAAAAGGAAGTCTTGGAGTAACCACATCTGACACATCCAATGTGTCATGCCCTCTTTTTTTTTGAAAGCTGGACGAAGATGAGACCGACCTAATACATTTTTTCAGGTTTCAGAACAGTCCCTCATGGGCCCACAACCACTGTTTCTGCAGGAAAGGATGGACATTGAGGCTTTGATGGAATTTACTTGAAAAGCTGTTATTTAAAAATCATCACTTTGTTCATATTCTTTGGCTGAAATTGTCAAGTAATGTCATCTACATAGAAATGAGATGCACTTTTAAACCGATGATCCGTCAAAGCGGAAGCATCTACAAGGTAAACAAAACAGGACCCAGAACAGAGCCATGGGCCACACCAGAAGACCAAGCTCCAGATCAGGAAAGCTCCCTTCAGAAAGAAAATTGCTACAGTTTTAGTCTTTTGATAATGATTCAATAATCAGCAGCATTGAAGGGTGCACTTAGATCCAGTAGCAATACTTTGAGCTGCTTGGCCACCATTTGTTTCCTAAAACTTTGAAGATCCTATCTTCAATGAACTAGTGGAAATTGTGGTAGTGGGTTATGTGCAAAAAAGTGTTGCCGATAGCAGAGTGACAAAGTAACTGGTAGTATCGAACAGAAATTCAAAATAGCTTGCCCTGACGCATTGGAAACAGATTTATTCAGTGATTAAGAGAATAAATTACTATTTTAACAACACCTTGCGACTTCCCAACTTTTTTCACTTGTGTCCACAAGCAGTGTCTACAACCCCTAAGGGTGTTTTTTCCTTTTCTAAGATTTTTATAATAATTACTAGCCTTCATGGATAAAATTATTCTATATTTGACAAAAGAAATAGCAACATTTGAAGAAAAGTGTGAAAAATGATTTTGTGTAGAATATGTTTTAGATTCTTTCCTATTCCGTCAATCATCCCTCAAACATATCCTGCAACCCCCTTTGCATGATCACGACTACTGAATTGGAGGAGAAATTGTCACTGAATCACTCAAAACATGTCATGCTTGCTTTGCTCATGTCTCTGTCAACTTTTTTTAATTCTCAGATGCCTGAAAAATACCAAGTAGCCAGAGAAATGGTGTACAGTTTAATGTTTTGTTTTTAAGTCCCGTTATTGCACTCTATAAAGCTAACGACCGCTGTCTGTCTCTATTTTATGCTATAACTTTCTATTTTTGAGTGGAACACCTGTCTGCAAGATATTATCTGAGGACCACACGGAGCATTTAAGTCACACCTCCCCCTAAAAACTCTAAGTCTGAGGCAACAGGGTCATAACAAAAACTGTCATCATGGAATTCCTTGTGGCGTACGTGTCAATGTGGGTGGATGTAGATGACCAAGCTTGTCTCTATACTGTGTATATATAGGCCAGTTTACAGAATCAGAATCAGAAATACTTTATTGTTCCAATAATTGGAAATTACCTGGTTTGTTTGAATTAAGCGAATTACTTACTACTGTCACTATGGATTATAAACTCAAGGGACTTCTAAGCCACTATGGTAAATATCTTTATAATATTTAATAGTACATTAAAAACAATATCACAATTTTGTTGTTATTTGATGTGTCTAATAAGTTTAGTATGCTTAGGTCAAATGCCCAATAAGTAGTATGTTATATAATGAATATATAATAATTTTTATTTTTATATGCATTATGTAACATAAATGTGCTGGAGTGCGTATTTCTTTGTTTCAGTAGTAGTGTGAATACGCTGGACTGTATGTGTTTTCTTGTAATTCTTCAGTTGTACTCTTTACAATAGAAGTTAACTAGGCCTCTACTACACCTTTAAAATTAAACTACACGTTTGTATCCTTGTCCAGGGAAACTTGCAGTAATGTTAAAGGATTTCCTTTTCCTCTCAGAAAACAAAAGGAGTGAAAGCAGTACTCATAACAGGGAGTTATTAGAGGCATTATGATTTGAAGAATCTTGTTGGATTCTTGGAGTGTTGCTCTTTCTTGTTTTATGCTTTGACTGCCGTCTTGCCAAAAACAGTGAGCTTACATTTGATTGGTGCCTTTAGCTCCCTCGGTTTATCTGAGACATAGGTTCCTAACATTATTGGCTTGTGACCCAACTGTTTAGCCCAAATGCAAAGAGAAATCCATCCTTAAAGAAGCAGTATTATTATACCTTATATTACATTTTGAGTCACCTGTGTCCACATGATCTTTTCTTAGTACTTGTCTTGATGCTCCTGGAAGTCCAGTCGAGCCCAGTGCCTCCTGCTGGAACTCGAGCCGCCTCAGATGATGTCTTGAAAATGGAACTTGTGGCGCAGCAGTTGAAATTAGAAGCAAAGGATCTACTGTGTGAATATGTAAGTACAACCTAGCATGGGCGGACCTAGAGCAGTGTCATTGTTTTTGACAGTTTTTTAATTAAATTAATTGAATAATCTGTTATTGTCACATTTTAGACAAAGTGATAGGCTTAAGATCAATTAAGAAAAATACATGGTGT